CAGATGACCAGAATCTCCAGATATAGCACATACAGGATGAACACATGAACACTAACTCAACACGTAGTGAAATGATTTTGATTTAATCAGCTTTCCTGAACAAGTTTACCAAAAGCATCAGCTAGCAAGCTGATAGTCAGAACATCAAGGCATAACTTATGCAGGAGCTTCATGTTTACTCTAATGCCACGTAGGGACCAAAGTAAAAACGCAGTAGGCTCTGCCCGCTAACGGTTGGTTTGATTTTAGCTGGCGCTGATTTAATCTGTTTTCCGCATATTTTTTAACTGTGCCAAGTCAAGTTTAAATTAAGATCACTCACGTTTAAAGAATCTTTTGAGTGATATTGTAATTAACGTGAAAACTCTGGGACAAGAATTTGTTTAGAGTAGCTGTGTTGTCGTGGTGTCGCGTTGGTTGGTTTTTCTTTTCGCTTGTTTTTTGTGCTTTGCCTCCCACCTAAGAAGAGTTTTACCGGGTATTTTTTTCGGTTCTTGGTACTGGCGCTCTGCCTTCCGGAGGATGCACGCGAATGAGGTGTTAGGTAAAAATTCGGTGCAAATGAACAACTTCGCATGAGATTCAAAATGTTGTGTTCGGTTGTAAAAATAACGCGGAAGATTTTTTGTATTACCGCGAGTGAAAAAACCGGTGATTTTTCGGAGGAAGAATTTGGTGAGTTCCATCTGATTATAAATCAATCATAAATGCATATATCCATATATTACTAAATACGCGCCAGATTTTGAAACATTACATTTCGAAATCTGGAATATGATAACGGTAGTGTTTACATGCGGGGCTTTTTTAATGTGAAAGTAGCCTCGGAATAGGCGTGAATTACCAGGCTTTCGGAAATGGGTTGCTGAATCTGCAGTAAAGCTATCGCTTTTTAACTCCCGGACTAAACTTGCTTTAAATTATTAACTACATCAAGGATTGTTGTAAGCAACTTTCTTCCATAATACCACTGCCGGCCAGTGGGGGTTAGATTGAACACACTCACACACACACACATACAATGCCACGTAGGGACCAAGTAGCACAAATTCATAGAATTATGTTGAGTAAACTCCTATAAAATCAAATCCAGCCATACAAAGATTATGTAAATTGACATAGAGCATGTCTGTTGCTTGGGGAGTGAGTGCTGAACTAATTTCGGTAAGGGCTTGGTAACCTGCACAATTTTCGCGAAGGGAGTAACTTTCTATCTAGGTGGTTATGATTTCGAGTTATAGTTTATACAAGAAACTCAAATGCACACATGCGACACGCAGTGAGACAATCCTGAACTTGCTTATTCGCCATTCAGAAGGCTTTGATCATCTGAATAACTTTGCCTAAAATAGAAACTTTCTGAATGGCTATGATCTTAAAATGTAGCACATACTGGATGTTCACATGGACACTAGCACCATGCAGTGAGTGAATTCTGAACTTATTTTATCTACCATCCGGAAAGCCTTGGTCACTTTGATAACTTGGCTCGATATATAGCACTTACCACCAAAAGTAAATACGCTCACTACCCAAGTAACATTGCAAGTTTTATCAAGGTTTTAAAGCATTCTACAAGCTCAATTCATGGTCTACAGAACCCTTATAAAACCAAAATTGTTACTTGGGTAGCGCCGTATAGTGAAATATTACAGACCTAATTTGTCTACAATTTGGACGACCATTATCACCTGAACAACTTTTCCGAAGACAGAACTTCTTTAACGGCCAGAATATAAATGTATTGCATTTACACGAGGATCATATCGACACTAGCGATGCGTTGGGAGATAATTCAGAACTAATCTCCCCAATAACCGAAAGGCCTTGGTCTCCTGAGCAACAGGTTCACGAGATATCCTGTGCTGGACGTAACGCATACATGTTCCACTTTAACTTTCAGCATTTCTGGTTTACAGTAACATTTTGTTCGCAGTAAAAGTGACACATGATCATCAGATGAACAAAGTCTCGAGTTTCTCAACCAAATGCATTATTTTTAGTGTAATCACATTAAATCACCATGCTTGCATCACATTGGCGCTACTAAGTTTAGGAAATTTTTTGAACAACGTATTTCGAACGAGGCTGTGTCATTTCGCCGAAGAAAATTTCTCCAAATTGGTCATTTCGCCGAATTTTAATCAAGAATCAAACTGAAAGAACTGGTCATGTTTAAAAGAAGGAAGCATGATTATTTAGAAAATAACGAAACAGTACAACCCAAATAAAGGAAATCTTTCTAAAAATACAACTTAAAAGCACTGCTCATGTTCATAAGAAGGAAGCATTACATTTGAATAGGTTGCCAGGTTGAAAAAATCGATCCTTCTTAATCTTTTTGACGTAGGACAACATCTGTGATTACTATATGAGGGTACACTTTGTGAAAACCAAAAATGGAACATGTAACAAAATTATGAAAGATTTTGAACGTTAATAACTCAGCTGCCCCTGGTCAAATTTAAATAATTTTATCACCAATCGATCATAAATATTTCTACGCATCTGTGAAATTGGAGACTTTACCATTTTTCAAAATGTCACTATTGAAAATTGCACGAATGTGCAACTGTTGCTATGATAATTTAAATTATCCTCGATTGCCTGCGAAAGGCGATTTCCCTAACACAGATTTCAATCACCGCGTCGTAAGTGGTGGTGTTCTCCAGTACACAACGAAAGGCTGCCTGCAAGCAGCGAGCTGCAGCCCACATGAGCATCCATAGAAGGAGGAAGAAGCCACACTGGTATTGATCGGAATTAGTAGCTCTTCGTAAGTCGCTGTGGGCCATCTATGTCAAGCGCATCATACTAAAGAGTATAAGCAGAGAGATCCCCGCTCAAATTCCTATTCCTACACAAAACACAAGCTCCAGCTGCAGTAAACAAATAAGATTTATTATATAAGACACGTAGTCCTACGTTACCATTGCGTACAACCCCATAGGGCTGACCCTTGTAGTTCCAAAATTCACTGAGCTTTTAGAAAAGTTCTAAGCCGTAGAAAATGGCTTACTCTTTGGCGAAATGACCCATTCGGTGAAATTTTCCGCTCCCTTTCGAATAATAGTGTCGCTGACATTTTGCAAATTGTGAATACATTGGCAATATATTTTCATGGATTGATCATGCAGCATTGCTAGTTCAGACATTGAACTAGCAGTGTTCCTTAAAAGATTCTCGAAAAAGAGGTTAAAAAGGTATTTTTGGTTCACGAATTGTAAATTTAATAAAATAGTCGTTTTAGATACAGGTATAATTAATTCTTACTCTTCTCGCACAAAGGATCAATTTTTCTGAGAGACAAGCCTAACCTATCTGCCTTTAAAACTGGTATCCTATGTGACTAAAAACTGTAATAATACTGATATTTAAGCCTGCATAAGAATCCTCGGATTACACTCTCGGTTCTCTCGGGAAACGCCAAAAAACTTGTCTCATAAAATATCCCTGGGCCAGATTGGGATATGGTGAATTTTACGTAGCGCACTACTACAAGACGAACTGAGCAAAATGAAAGGGCTGGAGGATAACAATTTGTTGGATTAATAAAGTTTGGCTCGAAGGTTTTTTTTTTAGCCGCAGGCTGGTTCATCTCCGAAGATTGGCTTGAAGGTGTTTCTGGGGATTGATTTGACGTAAGAAAAATAAACTTAGTCAAAATGAAGGTTTTTTATCGTACTTTCATAAAAATTGCAGCATTACTCCAACGGCGTTCGGATGAACTCGCGGACTTTCTTTGGAATTTTCGCCATCATCTACCGCACACTGGACTGGTCAACCTCCTCACCGGCCATTTTTTTTCCCTACATCGAGCCATCTGTGCAGCGTCCTTCCAGTTTTCTTTAACTTCCGCTTGATAATTGCCCAATTCTTTTCGATTGGGTGGAATTGCGGGCAGTTAGGTGGATTGATATCTTTGTCGACGAAATCCACCTTATTGTCGCAGTACCACTGGAGCACCTCCCGAATGAAAGGTAGTAAACATTTCTCCAGGCACTCATGCTTGTACAGCTTCGAGTTCATCGTTTTGTTGGTGATGAAGAGTTTGGTTTTGAGTCCGCAGCTGCATATTTCTTGCCAGATCATCAGTAACCGAGTGAATTTATCGGCGAAAACAAAATTGAATTTGCTGACGATATCACCCATGCTGTGGTCAGATCAAACTTTTATCCGGGAACCTGCCTGAAATCCATCTTTATCAATATTTCGAATTGACTACGTCGAGTTTTCGACGTGGGTGTACAGGATCCATCTGGTACAACTGAAACACGTGTACTTTGAAAAGAAATCGCTGTCAACGCGCTGCTATAGAATGAATAAAGTGTCCGGATTCTAAGTGGACCTAACTTTATGAAGCTGTCTAACCCTCCCAAGGGTATCGAAGCTGAAATATCAGCTGATATCATCAAACATATTATTTAAACAAACACACAGGAATTTGAAAAATAAAAATTCAAATCATTGAACAGATTTCAAACAACTTTCAAGTTTTGTCCCCCACATTGAATACCCGGACCCACTGTACCACCCTCTGAATAAACAGCCGCCCGGCGGCCACGATCGCTTCGCTCGGCCGAACCCAAGAGAGCACATGGGAGCGAACGTAATCCGCGAGCGAATTGGCGAATCTCCCAAGTGCCTCCGGTGGTGGAGTCCCTAGTCCGTACCTCCGTTGAAGTTCCTCTGCGTAAACTTGGTTCGAGCTCATGAAGCTCCACGCGCACCACCTCGGCTCGGATGGGCAGGAGAGAGCGAATCGTAGAGAGCGTGACTGACTGACTGACTCGGCGGCGGCTCGGGCTGACTGGTTGTGTGTTATTTCCATAAATAAAGATAACAACAACATACAACATTACGGATGGTTCAGCGCGCGGTGTCGGCGTGGAGCAGATTGAGCGAAAAAGGGGAGACGAAAAAAAAAAGGCGAACCACATTCAGGAGAATTATTTTTAATTCATAGCGGGCTTTGCCGCCAGCAGCCGAGTGCAGCAGCAGTCAGTCTAGTTCAGTACATCTACCAGATCGGGCCAGGGTCGTTCGGTGTCCCGGAGTTGCGTTCGTTTGTTCGTTCGTTCGTACGTTCATTCGTATGCGGTCGTGTGGCTGCTGCTTTTTTTGGAGTGCAGATTTAGGTTTGTTTCCTTGTTGATGATGATGATGATGGTTTTGATCTTCAGTGTCCGAGTTTCGTGATCGCCGTGGACCAGAAAATAACTCCACCACCAGGTGAATACGAATTTTGGACCCCCGTTCGTGGTGAAAGAGAAGATTGTGGCTCCACCACGCAAGAAATACAAGAAAAACAAAGGCAAAAAAGAGATTGTAAATAGTTTCGAGTAAAAGGAAGAGTTCAACGCGGCTGAGAAGAGATTGCTGGTGCACGCGGTGAACACAAAAGTAAAAAGTATTACGCGTAACACGGCGGCGCCGCACCGCGCCGCACTACTTTCTCCGCGAAGAGCTCACCTACTGAGATTGTTGTGAACGGTGGGGATCAAAAGGGGAGGGGTGAGAGGGTGGAGAAGTGGAGTTCTTGGGCTGTGATGCACCGCGCAGCCGCCTGCGATCGAATCAAATCCGTGCAGCGGTGCGTGACTATGCAACCGATTTGCTCATAAACCGACGACGGACTGTGTGAGTGCGTGAAAATTGAAAAAGGGAACGCCGACGACGATGAAGAAGTGACTACCGGTTAGGTTTCTTCGGAGTGTTTAGAGCGACCGAGAGGGGGTCAGTTCACAGTAAACGCTAATTGTTAATTATTATTTGCAATTTGCTATTTACTCCTATGATTTATGAACAACACTCCGTGCCATGTCGTCAACGTGGCGGTCACCTACGACAGTACAGTAGTCTGAGTGAACTTTGCCGCGCCGATGAATTCGCTTAAAAGCAGTGATTATCTCCCCTCGCCTTGTGCGGCGGCGCCGTCCTCGTAGTCGGCAGGACCGCAAACTAGCCAGGGTTCTACAACCCAATCAATCCAAGAAGCTACGAAGCGAGTGAAGTGCATCGCAACCGCAGCGGAGCGGCAGTTTCTGTTTCTGTTTTGAATTAAATGAATGATCACACATTCGATTCGAAAGTGAATGCAACCGTGCTCGCGCAGCATGCAAAGTGATTCGTGGTCCAGCTCGGGCGGTAAATGTCAATTGCCGGATTGTGTGGTGCGCCCTTTCCGAGGGTTGCGAAGTGTGACAGGCGTGGAGCTGTCGCACCACCCCGGGTATTGTTGTTGAGGTATGACTACTAAAGAAGAAACGAGTGAGCCTCTGATGGTGTGGATGTCCTAATAAGGCGACGAAGACTTGGAACAGGTTCTGAGGCTTCTCGGGGTGGTGTGACAGAATGTGGTCGGCAACTTTTGTGAACGTACCCGTTGTTGTTTTCTTCAGTGCTACAGCAATTGGATTTTGGATTGTCCGGCAACGCGAGATAGTGCTCCAGGCGATTGGTTTTTGGGGGTCGAAACACTACCTAGGGTTGTAAACACGAGTGCGGTAATTAAGCTTAACAGCGATTTGATGGCAATTGTAGTGAAGCGTTTATGAATGTAACAGGTAAACACAGGTCTTATTTGTCATATTGAAATTCGCTGTACTCGTGGTTGAAGGCTGCGGAAGTCGTCACAACATTAAGAGGGATATGAACAGGATTCTACACAAGTCATGATGTGCAACAAACTTCTTCCGATGTTGTATCTTTGTAGTTCCTCAATGTTATTCAGTCGTTTCTACCGATGTTTGGTGAGTGGAAGTTTCAACTGCATCCGAATTACCACTGATTTGATTAGGATTCACGATTTTATTGGTAGGCTTTTTATGTAATTTGATGAAGCTTTACTAATATCATGAAAATCCTATTTCTCCTACATCCAATGTAAGGTTGGATTTATTACATCCTATGTTTCATAGAAAAAATGTCATGGCAGTTCTTGCCATAGTCTGCAGTGTAGAAGCAAGTTTTTCCAGTATGACATTTTTTATAAAACGTTCACAAGATTATTATCCAGACGCAAAGCATTTGGGGAAGCAAACTTTGTTCGAATAATAAGCTAACATTAAAATTACAATTTTTTTAAACTCTTCCGGCAAACACATTACAGAAACTGTTCCCGTCGCGAAACATTCCAAATTTTGCATACTTTCATGCAAATCTGTAATAGAACCTTAAATTTCCCGGTTGGGTGTGGGAACTTAACGATTACTAAAATTTTTGGATCGAGAATAAATTAAATGACAGGTGGTGCAAGTTATACCATTTACAGTCATCTGAAAAGGAATACTGTTTCCTATAATCACAACAAATTTCTCCTTCTATGCAGGGTTACTTCCACTCACTTGCTATAAAAAAATGTTTTTCGGAATTATGTAATCATGCAATAGTTTAATGCTAATTAGTAAATTACAAGAAGAAGTTATGAAGTAAATGTTTGACACATACAATCTGTCAATATTGCTTTCAGTGCGCCACAATCAGCGATTTTCTGACTCGTGAGCGCTCACTCACGAATCATAAGATCGTTAATTGTGACGCTCTCAAAGCGAAATTGACAGGTTTTATGAGTCAAACACATACTTTACATCCTCTTCTTGTTACTTACAAGTGCAATATAGCATTTTAACTTATAATGATTGCATAATTCCCAACAATATTTTTTATAGCAAGTGAGTGGAAGCAATCCTGCTTCTATGAAACATGAGTGGTTCTATCCGGGCATATTGCAGCAAAGATTTTTGACATCTTAGATAAACTATGTATCAACATGTTTTGCTTTCTTTTATTGCTGCTCATTCTTAACTTAACTCTTCGCACACCAGATTGAAAATGAAGTTGATAGACATTTTTGACATAGGATTACATCTTTCGGCAACATTTTGGGGGTGCAATTTCAAAAAAACCTAAATTGACTGCGTTACGAAAACTGGTCAGGTTTTGACCACATATAACTCTGTCAATAGCGGATGGATTTTAATTCTAAACAAACCAATGGATAAGAAATTTTGCTACGAATCTTTTCAAATAAACACTTTATTAATTTTCAATAGGTCACTATTGAAAATTACACAAAATTCCAACTGTTGAAATGTAATCAAAAATTATCACCGATTGCCTGCAAACAGCGCTTTCCCTAATAAAGATTTCAAAATCGTATTCCTTTCGGTTTCGCCGAACGTGGTGGTGTTTGGTTGGTTGTCAGCAGCAGCAGCAAAGCTCGAATTTATTTGATTGATCGTGACAAGATATTAGAAAGTTTTAGCAAGAAATTCCTTCAATCAATATTATATTTTTTTTTTTAATTTTCTATTGAATAAATAAAAAAAATTGGAGTTTTGGGCAGGAAAATGCGTAATTTTGTCATCAGAAAACGAGGCGTTATGGGAAAAGTGGTTTCCCTAACACAGTCGCTGAATATTAATACCAAGCACTGAGAATACCAGACGGTATCTATCTTTATGTCTTTTGATGAAAATTTCAAGCCCCTCTTATTAGGAGACTCATTCAAATTTTAAGCCCTTCCTATTAAGAGACTTATACAAAAAAATCTTTCCGAATTCTATTAACATAATATGCTTAAATTTGCATCAAAAATCATAAACGTAGGTACCGTCCGGTAGGCTCAGATTCTGTGATTGATGTGTTTTCCCTAATGCATGTTTCATGTCCGCACCGCTATCATCTCCAAGAACATGGAGGACAAATTTCCACAGCATTGTTCTAAACTAGCTTCCAAGCTTCCTTTTTCCATTGGTCCTTTTCAGAACCACAAATGACTGATAAAAGAGTTAGCAAAAGAGTAAGAGCTTGAATCCAAGACATACCGTCCAGGATTGGCTTGTACTACATGAACATCGACAGAGCACCTCACAAACAGAACTCTCAAATTGCTTCCTAATTTCAGCCTATCGAACTTTTCCACTTATTCTCATTGCATTTGAGTTGTCACGTGATGGGTTTTATTCGTTTTAGGACGGATTTAGTCTCAAAGCCCGGATAATGTTCAGGTCATATTTCCTGAACCAGTTGACCTGTTCCAAGCATCTTTTTTTTTATTATTAATTAATTTATTTGTACAGGCTCAATCGAATAAACTTTACAGAGCCAAGTTATCATTTGCGTTATACATAATTGATGTCCAAGCATCTTAGTACCTTATGTTTGGTTGTTGCTGTGTCCTATTCAGTTCAGTGGTTGTCGAGAAACACGACTTAGTTTTCTAGATCCGTGTTTTTAGGATGTTATTCCGTCCATATCTCCGGAACCAGATAATAGAAGATATCGAAGATATTAAAAGGCGTTCATTGGGACTATGCAAGCTTTAATTTGGTGTTTGCTATGTCCTTTTCGATTCAGCGGTTGACGAGGAGGATAACTCAGTTCCCAAAATCTGTGTTTTTAGGATGTTGCTTCAGCCAGGTCTCCGGAAATAGTGAACCGATTCTATGAATAATCAAAATGTTTCATGAGACTATGAAACCTTGTGGTTGTTGAGTTCAATTCCGTTCAATAGTTTCCGAAAAACGCGCTTTAAAAATTTTGTGACCTACACACACAGATATTTCATGATCTTGTCGAGAATAAGCCGATTGATATATCGAAAGTTGGTTTTCCAAGCGATTAGTATACCTTTCATTTCGTTAAAAATGAGCTCATGGGCCATCTTTTGGACGATCTTGTTTAAAATTAGTTTTTATGAAAGGAGAGTCGGAGTCGCTATTTTTTCGACTCCAACCCCGACTTTGACTTGACAGCTCTGGCTGAATTTGTCAAATTTAAATAAATATTGTGCTTTGCAATTACATTAAACATTTTGAGGTGGAGCACAGATTGAGGAAGGAATATATTGGAATGTTACGTGTTCAACATAGCAAAACATAAACTTTAATATTACATCCAACAGGATGCACATCAATCATGTCGAAAATCTCATGTAATTTTTATGGCCACAAAAATAAACAAATGCAGTAAAAGCAGCGTAATGTCAGTTCATGTATTGTATTCATGATAATCTTGTCGTTTTTGGCAAGTAATATTACACCATATTTTTGACACGATTGAAGTGCATCCACTTTGTTGTGAGATAAAAAATTTTTTGCTGTGTAGATGCACTTACACAGTTATTAATTGAAAG